GTTGTGTTAGTTGTCTCTTCAGAGGTTGCATGGCTTTTCACTTTCCTTCTTATGATGTCTTCGACGAAACCATTGGAGAAGCCGTTATTGACTAGGACCTGCCTTACCCTACAGAGTTCTTCGTCGACTTGCTTCCATTCTGAGCTGTGGCTGAGAGCACGGTCGACATATGCGTTAACAACACTCCTCTTGTACCTGTCTGGGCAGTCGCTGTTGGCATTTAGGCACATTCCTATGTTTGTTTCCTTAGTGTAGACTGCAGTGTGGAAACCTCCGCCCTTTTCCATGACTGTTATATCTAGAAAGGGCAGCTTCCCATCCTTTTCCATCTCGTAAGTGAAACGCAGCACGGAACTCTGCTCAAATGCCTCCTTCAGCTCCTGCAGATGTCTGACATCAGGTACCTGTGTAAAAATGTCGTCAACATACCTGCAGTATATGGCCGGTTTCAAGTTCATGTCGACTAAGACTTTTTGCTCGATGGTACCCATGTAGAAGTTTGCAAACAGGACACCTAGGGGAGAACCCATGGCGACCCCATCTACTTGCTTATACATGTGCCCATCCGGGCTCAAGAAGGGTGCCTCTTTAGTACAAGCTTGGAGTAGTTTCCTCAGAATATTTTCTGGTATGTCAAGAGGAGTACAGGCTGGATCACGATACACTCTGTCGGCTATCATTCCGATTGTCTCGTCCACAGGTACGTTGGTAAACAGCGATTCTACGTCCAACGAGGCTCTTATCCCTGTGGCCCGTGTGCCCCGCAGTAAGTCAACAAATTCCTTTGGAGACTTCAGGCTGAAGGCGCAAGGAACATAAGGAGTCAGCAGGCCGTTGAGTCGCTTCACCAGTCTGTACGTGGGTGTGGGTATCTGGCTAATGATTGGCCGAAGTGGGTTTCCAGGCTTGTGCGTCTTGACATTTCCATACGCATATCCAGGTTTATATTCCCCAATGATCTTTGGCAGGTGGAGTCCGGATTTCTTGGCGTTCACAGTTTCGATCAGTTTGTTGACCTTTGCTTTTAATTCGGCTGTAGTGTCCTTCGTTACCCTTTGGAACTTAGTTTGGTCAGAGAGTATGATGTTCATTTTCGCCAGATATTCGTCTTTTTTAAGAATGACATATATTGGCGACTTGTCACCTCTCCTGACAACTATCTCCTTGTTCTCACGAAGGCTTTTAGCTGCCGCTTTAAGCTCGGGGGACAGTATGGTGCTTCTGTAGTTGCCTCGATTCTTTCCTCCTTCTGCAATAAGTTCTGCTTGTAAGGTATCTTTGGTAGTGACCTTCTTTTGTGTCTCGAGGTCGAATATGTCGTCCAACAGAATTTCCAACTCTACTTTCCGGGCCATCTCATTCGGTCTGGACATAACATGACAGTTTATGCCCAGATTTAGGAGAGTGACTTGGTCCTCAGTGAGGTTAATTCCTGCAAGGTTCAGGAAGCCATCTCTTGGTCGTGGAATTGCCATAGGTCTTCCATATAATGTTGTTAGTATGTTTATAGCCAAGTTTTCATGAATTAATTGTTTCTCGACTACCTAACCTACCTAACCTTACCTAACCTAACTTTTTCTGCTACCTAACCTAACCTAACCTATAAAGATAGGTTAGGTTAGGTAGGGTTGGTTAGGTTCGGTCATATATCTACGTTAATTTTAACTCCAATAACAAAAAATTGACCTCATTCATAATGAAATGGGTAGCTTTATCATTTCATAAGAAAAAAATTAGAGAAAATATAATAATTCAGGAAAACTTGGCTTATTAGGCAAATCAGGCCTTGCATAGTAGGCTGAAAAGTGCGTTCTGGCTACTAGGTACGACATATATATATATATATATATATATATGTCGTACCTAATAGCCAGAACGCACTTCTCAGCCTACTATGCAAGGCCCGATTTGCCTAATAAGCCAAGTTTTCCTGAATTAATATATTTTCTCTAATTTTTTTCTTATGAAATGATAAAGCAACCCATTTCATTATGTATGAGGTCAATATTTTTTTATTGGAGTTAAAATTAACGAAGATATATGACCGAACCTAACCAACCCTACCTAACCTAACCTAACCTATCTTTATAGGTTAGGTTAGGTTAGGTAGCCGAAAACGTTAGGTTAGGTTAGGTTAGGTAGGTTAGGTAGTCGAAAAACAATTAATTCATGAAAACTTGGCTTATTAGGCAAATCGGGCCTTGCATAGTAGGCATAGAAGTGAGTTCTGGCTACTAGGTACGACATATATATATATATATATATATATATATATATATATATATATATATATATATGCGGAAAATCCACAGAGAAATATGAAATGAGGTGAACGTTTCGGCTTTCCTATACACAAATTTAATGTGTATAGGAAACCTACCAACGTGGGGTCGTATGTTCATTTTTATTCGAATCATCATAGTAAAGTTAAACAGGCAGTATTTTCAGGAATGTTTCTACGAGCTTTGAGGGTTTGCAGCCCTGAGTTTTTTGATGAAGAGATTGCTAAAATATATGAAATTGGGAAGAGTTTACAATATCCTAAGAGGTTTTTGGATTTCTCGTTTGTACAAGCCAAACGTACGTTTTATAATCACGTCCCTAAGGCGAAACCAAAAATTATTAACTCATTGGTGGTACCTTATGCGAGTGGACTTGAAAAATTGTCTCTGATTTTTAAGAAACTTAATATAAATTTGGTGTTCACTAATAGTACGATCAAATCCAATTTAATAAAAAACTCCCCTGATACAGCAGGTTGTGTGTATTCAATTCCCTGCAATGATTGTGATTCTGTGTACCTTGGACAAACAGGAAAGTCCTTACAATTGCGGTTGTCACAACATGCTTATAGTATTAGAACTGCCCAAACGTCTAATGCATTGTATCTACATACGAGTTTATGCGATCACAATATTAACTGGAATGGGGCAAAAAGCATTACCAATTGTGGGGATTTCGTGGAACGGAATTTGATTGAGTCTGCTCTAATCAGTCAGTGTCCAAATCTTCTTAATGTTAGTACTGGAATGTACAAACTTGATCCATTTTTAAGTTATAATATTGCACAACAGTTTAAGAAACAACTCTGATAGAGAGGCTTACAACGTCTCATTATAATTGTATATTCATATATTGTGTGTTCATGAGGCTTTTCTTTAATCTTTCATCCTTATTCTCTGACCGCTTAATCCTCTTTGACCATTTTAAGCTAAGCTATACCTGATTTTGGTTAATTACACCTGACCAACCCTAGGGATGGGTTGGTCAGGTGTCGGCCTATATATCCTCCCCCTTCTCCCTTCTCCTTAGTCAGTCTGGTGTTGACAAAGGCTTTAACAAAGCCGAAACGTTCACCTCATTTCATATTTCTCTGTGGATTTTCCGCAAAAAATGATCAGTGTTTTGTGATCGTCAATTGCATATATATATATATATAATATATATATATATATACTGTATATATATATATATATATATATATATATATATATATATATATATATATATATATATATATATATATATATATATATATAATTTAAATTTCACCATTTCAAATTTGAAATTCTTCTTTAATATGTTACAATTTTTATTTTATTCATTGTGGGCTCAGAATGGTATATATTGTTCATTTTCCTCAAAACAAAATTTAGTTTGAGAGTATAGTTTACTGTAAAAAAAAAAAAAGTCAATATGGTCTTCAAAATATGTGCAAAATTTATATGCAAAAATGTGTAACTCCCAAAGTTATGGGTTTATGAATAAACGGTTTTCTGAAAACTTTTGAACTAAGAATGTTTCAAGTATGGAAAAATGGTGAGAATCGCTCAGAAACTAAATTTTTAATTGTCTCAAAGCTGAAAATCCAAAACAATAAAGTTAAAGTTCTCCACAATAAATATAGTATTTCAAATTGATGTCATATCTTGAAAGTTTTAATAAAAATTGCTTGGCATTCGTACTCGAATGTGTGAACGTTGTAGGCCAATATGTTTTGAAATTAAATAAAGAAAAAATCACCCTACCAAAACCAACAAAATATAGGGATAAGGATAATGGGTTAAAGGGGATATATAAGTATACATATATAAGTGATAAGGCCCTCATCTGGTTCCCATTCAGGAAAAACAACCCAAAGAGAAATAAATTGTTTGAAATTATGTGAATAACTCTGAGAAAAAATAATTAAGTCACGCGTTCTGCCACCTGTGGTCGATTTACACGTTGACCAATTTCGTTCCAACTTCACATACTTGGTGACAGGTATGCATTCTCCAAGATGTAGAAGGCACAACAAAACCGGATTAGAAACAAAGAAAAAAAAAATGTGGACATAAGAAATATTGGCGTTGGGAAATGTATTTATATGATATATAATAAAATACAGCAACATAACATACTCATTATTATTTGTGTGAAATTTTGCCCTCAAGGTGGCAATCATCAAACCTAGAAGGCACCAACGGCATATCCACTTGTGGACTCTACTTATTACTACTCTTCTTTGTGTGTCGGACAGGTGCTTGCATCTCTTAATCATTGCATTATCCAGGAGTTCCACTAACTAGGAGGTGTTATTGTTATCAGTACTTGTTGTGCACTTTTGTTTTTGTAAATTTGTATAAAATCCAATTCTTAACATATTGGTATGAAAATTTCATGATGCTGAGGCCAAATAATGTGAGATTTGTTCAACAGTTTTCACTATTTTTCATATTTGGGCAAATATTTTTGTGCACCCGGCCCCTTAAAACTACTGTAGAAATATGACCAAACCTAACCTATCCTAACCTGACATGTCTAAGTCCGTAATTCATGTTCTTAATATAATATTATTAATACAAACACAGTAAACCAATTTGAAATTGATTCTTTTAATAACAAATAAAAAAATATATATGTATATACATTATATTGTTTTATTTATTTATGTTGTAATTAAAAGTGTTGCTGAATTTATTTAATATACAAATTTTTTTTTATTATTATTATTATAGGTGGCTACTCAGGTTATGCAGTTTCTCATCGACAACTTTGGGGTTAGCAACCTGTTTGGCCGGCCAAACTATGAGTACTATGCTCGGATCACTGGCCGCATTTTGAAAGTAGAGGAAGATTGGATATTTGCATTTAGATATCCACCAGACAGCTTAGTTGCACGTAAGTAAAATATGAAGTAATTATTTTATGCTTTAAGACTATGTGAGAATTTATTGCATCTTACAAGAGTTTTCTGTCCCATTTGTTATCTTGGTATCTTTGTTTAATCCTAATTTGGAAGTTACCGACTTTTCTCTCTCTCTTTCTCATCTCCATTATCTATAGTTCATTTCATAATTTGTCCTGTCATCTGCTTTCCAGTCTTATCTTATTAACTTATTTGTGTTTTCTCCATATATGCCTGTCTTCATTTCATCTGTCAGCCATGTTTTACCCCTCTCATTTGTCTCAAATGCTTTTCCCATCCAGCCTATTGAAGTTTTTATTCTCCCTATGGGTGGTTAATAAATGCAGTGAATTGAAAATAGAGCTTGTTTAAGCTAATTTCAGACGACTTTAAGAAAAAAGTATGATGAAAACATTAACCACCGCACTGTGCAACGCACCTGTAGGCGCTTGATGGGTGGTGCGCAGCGCGCCTCAGGGATCTCATAGGTATAGCGTATGATTCAAAACTCCCACGGCTACATGGGGCTCACATCAGCTTCCTCAGGGCTTTTGTAAATAGACACCATTTTTTTTTTTAAATCGTGGGCAACATTCCTGGGTGTGAGGGCCTCAGTACTGAGTGAGCCACCAAGGCTGGCACACACAGCATGAGCTCACAGTACTGCTGTTCAGCTTGTGACCACAGCATCGCCTAAAAAGTCCATGTATGTATGTAACCGTTATTATTTAGCCATGATAGTATTACAGAAGAGCTCGAGTGTGATAATGACTGTGCAATGCTCAAATATCAGTGAATCAATGCTGTTAAAGATGTTCACATCACTAGCCACAGCACCACAGCATCATTTCGTTCATCTAGGAATCTTCAAACGCATTCATATGTTCCTTCACAAAATAAACTTGTGGTCAATTATTCATTTACAGGATTTAGTGACCAGGATTGTGATAATGGCAGGATTGTGGTGATAATTAGTGCTGTGCATAGTATTGTGGGAGGAGGCATTTTGGTGAGGGAGGGAGGGAATTGAGGTAGTGTCACTGTGTGTGGCAGCCACTCTTGTTTTGCTCACCATACTAGCTTAGTGGTTCACTATGGTGAACACATATGTACATGGGTATATACAATGTGTGTATATAGTGTATTAACAGCAGCAGGAGTATGTTAGGAGGAGCCATTTTGGTGAGGGAGGTGGCGTCGTACTTGTAGCGTCGCTGTCTGCTAAGCGTCACAATGCTAATTATAACCACAATCCTGGTCACTAATTTCTGTAAGTGAATAATTTACCACAAGTTTATTTTGAAAAGGAACCTAAGAAGTCGTTTGAAGATTCCTAGATAGATGAAATAATGCTGTGGTGCTGTGGCTAACGCTGTGAACATCGTGAACAGCATTGAATCACTGATATTTGAACATTGTACCCAGTCATTATCACACTCAGGCTCTTTTATAATACTGTCATGGCTAAATAATACAGGTTATATATACATTTTGACATTATTAGGTGATGCTGTGGTCACACACTGAACAGCAGAGCTGTGCGCTCATGCTGCGAGCACCAGCCTTGGTTGCTCACTCACTATTACAAGAGCCCTGAGGAAGCTGATGTGAACCCCATGTAGCCACGGGAGTTTTGAATGGAACATGAAAAATAAAAATACCCGGAGGCTCGTTGCGCACCCAAAGCCTGAGCCTGCAGGCGCATTGCGCAGTTAAAGGGTTAACCCCTGGACTACTGCTGCAATTATAGCCTGCAACATGCCCAGGTGCAATAAATAAATAAATCCTATAAAAGTGTTCATTTGTGTTCACTGATCAGGGGAAAAATAATTAAAAAATCGTAGGTGGCATATTTTGGCTGCAATAGGGCAGGGCAAAAGTCTGGCAAAAAAGAGGCGTTGACAGAGTAAGCGTTGGAGGCGGGTCAGGCAGGAGTTGCCACCAAGATATTATTACCTAATTATTTCGGTGTATGATTGATTTTTGCCTATTTTTTTTGCAGTATTATTCAATAGTGTGTAGTGTGATATATTTATATAATAAAATTCGTGAACCATCCCTATACTCAAAATTATGGTGTGCATAATAGTGATTCAATTATGTTCATAAAACAATAAACAAATAGTTTTGCTGTTATTACACTATATACACAAGTTATATATATGTATCTACATGTTTTGTTCACCATAACGAACCACTAAGTTGGTATGGTGAGTCAAAAAGCAACGAGGAGTGAGACACCACACCAGTCAGCCAGCTACTTGCCGCCAGTCCCTCCCTCAACAACACCTCACTCGCCAACATTCTCCTCCCACCATGCTGTTTTTGCTTTTATTCACTATATATAAACGTTATGTATAAGTATCTACATGTTTTACTCACCATAACTGTACAACTAAGCTGGTATGGCCAGATCAAGGTAATAAGAGATGTTGCCACACACACAGCTGGTGGCTGCCTCCCTCACTGGTTCAAGGCCAGATGCACTAACATTTCTCCCCCAACAATACTGTTTGTGGTGGTATTACACTATATACACACTTTATATATTGGTATCTACATATTTTATTCACCATAACTGTACAACTAAGCTGATATGCCCAAAGACCATAGTGGCCACCTTCGACAGAGCATGACAAGTCATGCAGATGATGCCACCTCTATCACCCAAATGGCTCCTCCCAATATAATCCTTTTGCTGTTATTACACTAATACACACGTTATATATAAGTACAATATCTACATTTGTGTTCACCATAGAGAACCACTGAGCTGGTATGGTGAATGCAGATAGTAACAGGTGGCCACACAGAGTCAGCAGATGATGCTATCAATCCCTCAACATTACTCCTCCTACCATACAGCACAGCACTAATTATCACAACAATACTGCTATTATCAGAATCCTGGTCATATTTATCAGTCAGGTGTTTTCTGTAATACTATTATCTTTAATAGTACTAGTTTCATATATTTTTTACATTTTTAGGCGATGTTGTGGTCACAAGCTGAACAGCAATGCTATTAGCTCGTGCTGCGTGTGCCAGCCTTGGTTGCTCAGTCAGTACTGATGCTCTCACATTCGGGAATGTTGCCCACGATTTTTTTTTTCAATGGCGTCTGTTTACATGAGCCCTGAGAAAGCTGATGTGAACCCCGTGTAGCAATAGGGGTTTTAAATCTTGTGTGGTACGCAATTCTATGACAGTTACTCACCACAGCTATTGATGTGTTGTGCAGTTTAAGAGTTAACCACTGTAATGCACTGCATTTATTGTGACATTTCCCGTGCTCATAAAATCAAGTGTTCCCAAAAGTTTTTTTTTTTAATTATAAATTCCCTATTCTGAACATGTACATGTAAAAATAAATATCAAATTCCACTTTGGCTGTGGGGACGTGGACAAGGTGCGCTGTGACGTCACAGGTTGGTCGCCCGTGCATGAAGCTCCCAGATGTGGTCACGAGGTCCATTCAAGACCCACAAGTTGCCACAATTATATTTACAAATATTATTATTATTATTTTCAATGCTTTTCTAATTTTTGTTGGTATCGTATCTAATGCACAGATGTGTCCTTGACAATAAATATATAAAGGAATTATCTAAGTGTAGTTACAGGATGAGAGCTACGCTCGTGGTGTCCCGTCTTCCCAGCACTCTTTCATATAACACTTTAAAATTACTGACGGTTTTGGCCTCCACCACCTTCTCGCCTAACTTGTTCCAACCATCTACCACTGTTTACAAAAGTGAATTTTCTTATATTACTCCGGCAGCTTTGTTTCGTTAGTTTAAATCTATAACCTCTTGTTCTTGAAGTTCCGGGTCTCGGGAATTCTTCCCTATGAATTTTATCGATTCCTGTTACTATTTTGCATGTAGTGATCATATATAACATCCATAATGTTCCATGGAACTGTGATACATGTCACTAATGTGTACTCAATAAATGTTTATTGTTGGAATATTACTTGTTCCACATTCACTAATAATACATTATATACAGTTTCACGCACTATTTACAAAGTAACACACTCTTAGTACTTAGCAAGTGAGCGATATTCAAAGAAGCAGTCCACGAGACAGAGCAGGACTTTGCACACGACGCATATGATACACACAGATTTTCGCTTCCTTGGTTTTCTTTCTGAGTTTTTGCAAACAGTGCACTCATGTACACCTTTGGCCTCAGTTCCTGTAGGTGGTAAGTAGGCAGGCTTGAGAAATGTAAAGACATCTTTATCGGCCAGTCTGTTGCAAACTAAATGTGGTCTTGTTTGGGCATGAAAAACTGTCCTTGCGCTGTCTTCCTGGCCATACTTGACAAGTAATTGCGACACCAGAGCCTGACTAAAGACTCGAATTGATGGTTTTTTGCTCATTTTAACCAAAAACATGTTAAAACAGTTGAGCAGTGTTATGTCCACAAGATGAAAGAAGAATTTCCTTGTCCACTTTACACTTTTGTGGACACACTCGATGGCACCATCCATCATGTCACATTTATCTACAAGTCTCATTTATATTGTAGTCAATGAAATAATCTGGCTTATACAATGTTCCATCAGCTCGATACCTCACTATACCACTGTCAAGCATTTCACCAGTGTGAATAGTTGACAACATATTGACTTCACATCTGTCCAACACACTGCTAATATTTTGTCACATTTTCTAAGTTCACAATCATGTAGGCCAATATTATTTTCAAAAACTGGCATTTCTTTTCAATGTGTCTTTACAGTGTCACACATGCCCGTGTTATGTTCAGGCAAGAACTTTGTTAGCAAGGGGCTCCTATAATAATTGTCAGTGTACAAAATGTGCCCCTTGTTTAGCAGTGGTTCCATTAGCGTCTTCACCACACTGCCAGAAAACCCATGAGGATCCTGCGCGAGTCTACGTCTACGTCTATACTGGAATATAATATCATATTGATCACCATTTCGGCGTCACAGTCACACAGTTCAAAGAATTTGAGTCCAAAATGGTGCCGTTTCGATGGGATGTACTGTTTGAAAAGATGTCCCTTGAAAAGAATTAAGGATTCATCAATGACAACATTCTGTCCAGGTACAAAATAATCACGAAATTTCCCCTCTAATATCATTGAACACTTTTTGCACTCTACAAAGTCTATCATTTCTAATCATCATTTGCAATGTTTTCCAAGTGTAGACACAGTAGTATTATCAGGAACCTGTCTCGTGACATGTACTTGTTGAACACAGGTGTTGGAATAGCACATTCTTTGTTCCAATAATCCTGTTTGACATCACCGAATGTTTCATGAGCGTACACAGAGCTCAACCACGGTGGTGTCCTTCCAAAGTATCATACATGAAGCCTGTAATATGCCGCATGCAACAAGTTGCCCTGCATGAATGTTGATTTCGGCAACAAGATGTTGTATGAACTGCTCATGAAATGATCTACCAGATGGAATACAGAGTTATATGAACATGTTTGCTGATGATCCTAAGATAATAGGGAAGATAAGAAACTTAAATGATTGTCATGCCCTTCAAGAAGACCTGGACAAAATAAGTATATGAAGCACCACTTGGCAAATAAAATTTAAAGTGAATAAATGCCATGTTATGGAATGTGGAATAGGAGAATATAGACCCCACACAACCTATAAATTATGTGAGAAATCTTTAAAGAATTCCAATACAGAAAGAGATCTAGGGGTGGTTCTAGATAAAAAACTGTTACCTGAGGACCACATTAAGAACATTTTGTGAGGGGGGCCTATTCTACACTTTCTAACTTCAGAATTGCTTTTAAATACATGGATGGAGAAATATTAAAGAAATTGTTCATGACTTTTGTTAGACCAAAGCTGGAATATGCAGCGGTTGTGTGGTGCCCATATCTTAAGAATCACATCAACAAACTGGAAAAGGTGCCAAGACATACCACTAATTGGCTCCCAGAACTGTAGGACAAGAGCTACGAGGAGAGATAGAGACATTAAATATGCAAAAACTAGAAGATAGAAGAAAGAGGCAATATGATCACTATGTACAAAATAGTAACAGGAATCGATAAAATTGATAGGGAAGAATTCCTGAGACCCAGAACTTCAAGAACAAGAGGTCATAGATTTAAACTAACGAAACAAAGTTATCGAAGAAATATAAGAAAATTCACTTATGTAAACAGAATGGTAGACGGTTGGAAACAAGTTAGGTGAGAGGGTGGTGGAGGCCAAAACCATCAGTAATTTCAAAGTGTTTGTGACAAAGAGTACTGGGGAGACTGGACACCACGAGCGTTGCTCTCATCCTTTAACTACACTTAAGTAATTGCTCTGTTTGCAAAAGTGAATTTTCTTGTATTTCTTTGGCAGCTTTGTTTAGTTTAAATCTATGACCTCATTCACCTCGGTCCCAATTGTGATTGGATATGTAATCATGTCTAGATAAGTTGTCGAATTTCCCTGCCCCTCCCCCCCCCCCTCCCGGCATAAAAATAATACTATGTACAAAAGTATGTACCAATACATTATTGTTTCAGTAGATAATTTAAACAAAACACCACAGAGTACTGGTAGTACAGGAATAATAAATATGGGTATTCACCAAGTGTCCAGAAGTTTTTCTACATATAATAATAACTAATAATTATGATCTTGGAATAATGTGTAGGCGAGTATGGTGGTGTTAACCGAGGGTTGAGGCCTAGATGTTGAGGGGATGGTTGGGTTAGGTTGGGTATTTATTTAGTTAGGTTACGTTTAGTTAGCATTAATTTAGTTAGCTTTTTTTGGTTAGTTTTGGTTTGGCTAGCTTTGGTTTGGCTAGCATTTTGTTTGGTTTGGTTAGCTTTTGTTTGGTTATCTTTGGTTAGGTTTGGTTAGCTTTGGTTAGGTTAACCTGATTAGTTTAACTTTGGCTAGGTTTAGTTTGGTTAGGCTTGGTTAGGTTAGGTTTGCTTAGCTTTGGTAATGTTTAGTTAGGCATGGTTAGGTTAGGTTTGCTTAGCTTTGGTTATGTTTAGTTGGGTTTGGTTAGGTTATGTTAGTTTGGATTTGGTTAACACTTTTGCCCGGTGATGATGCTGTATGGCATCAAAAAATAAAAAATTTAGTCTGCTTTCGGCTTGGCTGCGTGTGGGGTGCATGCCACGGTTTTTGGACATATAGTATACTCTTGTAGGGAATTTTATTGCGAACACATTGATACCAAAATGAAAGACCTAGGATGAGAATTGAGGTGACCAAAGTAAACACAGAGTAAACACATTTTATTGCTCTTGTGCGCTCATGGGTAATAACGCGGGGCCAATTTCTTGGTTTGGTGTGTGTGGTATGCCGGGCTTTTGGACTTTATATGCAAATACTCCTGTAGGGAATTCTATTGCGAACACATTGATATCAAAATGAAAAACCTAGGACAAAAACCCAGGTGACAAAATTGAAGAGAGTATACACTTTTTAGTATTGCCCGGCATTCATGTGGAATGCCCGGACCCACCTTAAGGTGGTCTGGCGCTCGCTCGCCCAAAGCACGAAAATGTTAAGTTTGGCTAGGTTAACATATGCCAGTACAAACTTGTTTCATGGTCATTATAAAATTTGTTCAGGAGAAAGAGAATCGTCCTGCACGAACTCAAGTTAGGACAAACATTCCTCTGCCCCTCTTTTCACCACACAGGAGACATTCCATATTCATCTGCCTTTATAAGTTGAAAGTCCTGATAATGGATCATCTCAACGTGTTTTCTCTTTACTTCACTGCTTGTTGAAGCCCCAAATAACATTTCCTGTATTTCCTGATGCACTAGTAGCAGGATGCAAAAAATATGCACATATATATAAAATGGTGAAAGAGGGGGCGGATTTTGTCCTCTGCAGGTAAACAAAAACAAAACAAACAAAACAAACTACCACCGGCAGTTCGGTGGCCAGCTGCGGAACTACATAGGCTGCTCCTGAGTGGGGGATCTGCTTGGGGCCGGATCACAAAGGAATAGATGGAATAAATGAATGATTGAGGCTCGATAGCAAGGTCGGGGAGTGTATTGTGGTTTGCTTCACTAGCATTACTATACATACTCCTGTTTATGAGAACAACGGGACTTTTGCCTAAAGAAGCAACTGAGATGCATGTATTGTAACTCCAAAATGGCAAAATTCTTCAAAATCTAAAATTTACCAAAATTTTAAAATGTCTCAAATGAGGATTTTTGAGGTTACACGTAATGGTATACATGAGTAATTGATAGGGGTATGACATGGCATATTCACAAGTTTAATAAATGAATAGCACTATTTAGTTTAGTAGGATATTTAGTTAAATGATATTCTTCTTGAATCCCAGACTTGAAGCATTTTCCTGAATACTCTAAACAAACCAATTGTAAAAATAACATTAAGTAATGTACTGTATGTAATTTATAATTTGCTGAAAGAAAAACAAGTCTGCATTTGGCAGTACAAAGTTAGACTGTTAGTTTCATAGTTTTAATCATTTCTCATGATTTCTCCATCAGGCCAGCTCTCACTTGAAGCAGAAAAAACTTGGCTTCAGTATGAATCGGAACGCTGGGGTCTTAAGTTCAACCTTGAAGGTACCCATTCAAATAATAAAATAACATTCATCATTCGGCAGTTGCTGTTAATGTAGCAAATTTTTATTGTTTAATATAGTAATTTGTCTTTTAAGTTGTATGCCAATAGTGGACCCTACCATTATAAATGTGTTATCAAAATATAAATTTGTTTTGTGAAAATCATTGGAGCACTGGTGATTTGAACTAGCATTCTGGGTCTCCCCAGCCAATATGCCTTAACTCACTGGATCATGATACGCTGTAAGTAATTTAACCTGGGATTCTACTGAATTCACTAAGGGTCTTGAGGCATCAAGACTCCTACTGGAGTCTTCAGTACTCCTAGTGAGGCATCAAGCTTCAAGACTCCCCACCAGGGGAGCCGGCGGCTGAGCGGACAGAACATTGGATGCGTGATCCTGTGGTCCCAGGTTCGATCCCGGGCAAGAAACAATGGACAGAGTTTCTTTCACCCTGATGCTCCTGTTACCTAGCAGTAAATAGGTACCTGGGTGTTGGTCAGCTGTCACGGGCTGCTTCCTGGGGGTGGAGGCCTGGTCGCGGACCAGGCTGCGGGGACACTAAAGCCCTGAAATCATCTCGAGATAACCTCAAGATAACCTGTGCACTTTGACCCTTAAACCATGCAAAACATACACATATGATTTGAAATAACTTAAGTTTTTAAAACTTGCACAAACACTTCCCAATTTTTTGTGCATAATCAACTAGGCAAATGCTCCAACTTTGTCTAAATGATCACAACATAACTTGAAAAACAAGAGAATCAAAAATAGTTTTAAAATATAATATTGAAAACTTCAGATTTTTAAATCAGAATAAAAAATATAAACTATGACCAGTTGTTCATTTGGTGTTATTATTCTTTCAGAATAGCATATAATCATTTTCATCAAATTAGAATACAGTATATGTTTTCAGTATAGTTTACTATAAAAAAAAGTCAATATGGCATTTGAAATATGCGAGAAATTTACACCCCAAAATATTATAACTCCAAATGTATAGAGTTTAAGAAAAATTCATTCTGAAGGGATTGTAGAACAGACAGCTGAGCACAAAGAATGTCAAAATGGTGAGAATTGGTAAAAAATTGGAATTTTTGAAGCCACTCAAAGTTGAAACTCTTAGAGATAATTGAAGTTGAAGTTATCGACAATGAATAAAGGTAGTCCTAAAGAAATAAATAAAGGTGTTGAAATGAAGTCAAGAAAAATAACCCACAAAAAATAAATATTGGGATAATTATAATAATTATAATGATTTTAGGGGATATATTTAGAGAATATGTTATATAAGTGAAAAGCCCTAATCTGGTCCCTAATCATCAAAACAACATAAAGAGACAAAGAAAATAAAGTTTGAAATCTGAGAAAAAATCTGTCAAAAAAATTCAGTCGCAAGTTCTGTGAGTTCTGACTGATTTATTTGTTGACCAATTTCATTTTAAGTTAAGATTGTTAGGGAAGGGTATACACTCTGCACGATGTAAAGATGACAACAAAAATCAGATAATAAACAAAAGAGAAAAAAAAAAATCTAAAAAAAAAAAAAAATCCTAAAAAATATTTTTGGGTCATTGATGAAAGTAGCATATATTAACACTGGACAATGTATTTATGTGATGTATAACAAAATAAAGCATAATAACATGGTTACTCATTAATTTTTTTGTGTTATTATGTATTTCTCAGAAGTGCTATAAAGGCATCAGCTGCATATCCACTTTGTGGACACTTCTTACTGCTATTCTTCTTCTTCTTTGAGAGTCAGACAGGTCCTAGCATCTCTTTATTACTGCATTATCTCTCCATTCCAGTTAAATTAATAGGAGCTGTTCTTATCAACAAATCTTTATTTTTTTTAATTTTGTCTAAAATTAATTTCTGAAAATATTTTGATGAGTTTCACAACGCTGAAGCCAATAAGTTGGAGATTTGTTGAACATTATTAAGTTATTTTTACATAATTCAAATATTTTTTGTTTCCGGGCCCCCAATATTCATGGTTTAGGGTGTTAACCCACTGGAGCATGATACTCTATAGGTGATTTAACCTTGAATTCTATTGAATCCATGAGGGGGTATTAAGGCATCGAGCTGATACTTTATGAAGTTTTTCCAAATTCCAATACACTCTGGTGTTGGTATAGGAGTTATTCCCATACACTCCCTTCAAATGCACATTAGTGTGTAATGTAGTATGTATTTGAAAGGAGCACATGGGACTCGTATACCCACGTTAGAGTTCTTATCTTAAGGTTATCTTGAGATGATTTCGGGGCTTTTTAGTGTCCCCGCGGCCCGGTCCTCAACCAGGCCTCCACCCCCAGGAAGCAGCTCGTGACAGCTGACTAACACCCAGGTACCTATTTTACTGCTAGGTAACAGGGGCATAGGATGAAAGAAACTCTGCCCATTGTTTCTCGCCGGCGCCTGGGATCGAACCCAGGACCACAGGATCACAAGTCCAGCGTGCTGTCCGCTCGGCCGACCGGCTCCTTACAATACAGTGGAGTGCATATGGGTAATTTGTAAAAACTTCATAAAATATCAGCTCGATGCCTCAATACCGTTCGTGGATTGAATACAATCCAAGGTTAAATTAGTTATATTACTTATAGAGCGTATCATTGTCCAGTGGATTAAAATGCCCAGCTCTGGAGACTCAGAATGATGGTTCGAATCCCCCAGTGTGCTCCATTGATTTTCGCAAAATATCATCATGCCATTATGATTTCCTAGTGTGTAAGCTTCTTTTGAGCAATACTAAATTAATCATTAATGACCTAAATATTCACTAGAAAGTCCATTATTAAATTGTTGTTAGGTCTTTATATTTTAGTATGTTATAGCTGCTTAGATGTACTTGCTGATACTGTACTGCCACAAGTGTTAGTGAGTAACTATTACTGAAATGCTTGATGAACATACTGTGTTACTCTCACTAGTATGCTGTTGCTCTGATCATACTGTTGCATCATGAAGCATCTCTCACTAGTATGCTGTTGCTCTGATCATACTGTTGCATCATGAAGCATCTCTCACTAGTATGCTGTTGCTCTGATCATACTGGTGCATCATGAAGCATCTCTCACTAGTATGCTGTTGCTCTGATCATACTGTTGCATCATGAAGCATCTCTCACTAGTATGCTGTTGCTCTGATCATACTGTTGCATCATGAAGCATCTCTCACTAGTATGCTGTTGCTCTGATCATACTGTTGCATCATGAAGCATCTCTCACTAGTATGCTGTTGCTCTGATCATACTGTTGCATCATGAAGCATCTCTCACTAGTATGCTGTTGCTCTGATCATACTGGTGCATCATGAAGCATCTCTCACTAGTATGCTGTTGCTCTGATCATACTGTTGCATCATGAAGCATCTCTCACTAGTATGCTGTTGCTCTGATCATACTGGTGCATCATGAAGCATCTCTCACTAGTATGCTGTTGCTCTGATCATACTGTTGCATCATGAAGCATCTCTCACTAGTATGCTGTTGCTCTGATCATACTGGTGCATCATGAAGCATCTCTCACTAGTATGCTGTTGCTCTGATCATACTGGTGCATCATGAAGCATCTCTCACTAGTATGCTGTTGCTCTGATCATACTGTTGCATCATGAAGCATCTCTCACTAGTATGCTGTTGCTCTGATCATACTGTTGCATCATGAAGCATCTCTCACTAGTATGCTGTTGCTCTGATCATACTGGTGCATCATGAAGCATCTCTCACTAGTATGCTGTTGCTCTGATCATACTGGTGCATCATGAAGCATCTCTCACTAGTATGCTGTTGCTCTGATCATACTGTTGCATCATGAAGCATCTCTCACTAGTATGCTGTTGCTCTGATCATACTGTTGCATCATGAAGCATCTCTCACTAGTATGCTGTTGCTCTGATCATACTGGTGCATCATGAAGCATCTCTCACTAGTATGCTGTTGCTCTGATCATACTGGTGCATCATGAAGCATCTCTCACTAGTATGCTGTTGCTCTGATCATACTGTTGCATCATGAAGCATCTCTCACTAGTATGCTGTTGCTCTGATCATACTGTTGCATCATGAAGCATCTCTCACTAGTATGCTGTTGCTCTGATCATACTGGTGCATCATGAAGCATCTCTCACTAGTATGCTGTTGCTCTGATCATACTGTTGCATCATGAAGCATCTCTCACTAGTATGCTGTTGCTCTGATCATACTGGTGCATCATGAAGCATCTCTCACTAGTATGCTGTTGCTCTGATCATACTGTTGCATCATGAAGCATCTCTCACTAGTATGCTGTTGCTCTGATCATACTGGTGCATCATGAAGCATCTCTCACTAGTATGCTGTTGCTCTGATCATACTGTTGCATCATGAAGCATCTCTCACTAGTATGCTGTTGCTCTGATCATACTGGTGCATCATGAAGCATCTCTCACTAGTATGCTGTTGCTCTGATCATACTGTTGCATCATGAAGCATCTCTCACTAGTATGCTGTTGCTCTGATCATACTGGTGCATCATGAAGCATCTCTCACTAGTATGCTGTTGCTCTGATCATACTGGTGCATCATGAAGCATCACTAGTATGCTGTTGCTCTGAAGCATCTCTCACTAGTATGCTGTTGCTCTGATCATACTGGTGCATCATGAAGCATCTCTCACTAGTATGCTGTTGCTCTGATCATACTGTTGCATCATGAAGCATCTCTCACTAGTATGCTGTTGCTCTGATCATACTGTTGCATCATGAAGCATCTCTCACTAGTATGCTGTTGCTCTGATCATACTGTTGCATCATGAAGCATCTCTCACTAGTATGCTGGTGCTCTGATCATACTGGTGCATCATGAAGCATCTCTCACTAGTATGCTGTTGCTCTGATCATACTGTTGCATCATGAAGCATCTCTCACTAGTATGCTGTTGCTCTGATCATACTGTTGCATCATGAAGCATCTCTCACTAGTATGCTGTTGCTCTGATCAT